GCAACAAGTTCAATCGTCTTGGTATGCATTTCTTAAAGATACCGACTCTTGAAATTGAAACAATTAAGAAGCATGAGTCGAACCTTGATGACTTCTTGAGACGCGATTCCTCCAATGAAGGCAGCAACCACATGAAGCTCTGAGGCACCAAAGCGACACATCTCATTGATAAGGTCATCAGGCAGAACTGTGCCGTTACAGCCCAAGTCGGTAAGAAGACTCAAGGCAGTAGTTTTTAACCTAGAAATGTCCTCATCCATTCCTCTACGAAAATAGATTGCATGTTAACAGCCAAAAAGGGCTAAATTATTCAGAAATAGGATTACCATAACGAGTTCTTACCCATCAAACTGTCCAGGAAACTTGTTGTAGTTGGCAGCAAATCTGTCCACCGCTCTAAGAAGAATATAAAATCCCACTGCACCACTGCAACGGTAAAACAATATTAGTACAAGAGCTAACAACTGGCTTCCACATATAAGTCTAGAAAAAGACTGAACAAAAACCATAATCTATACTACATGAAGACATTCGCACCTGTAGTCCTCGTCTGCTAAACACTTTTGAATTTCGGTTACCGATGGATTGCTGAACTCGTCCTCTACCATTCGATATCTGCATACCTACAGCAGTGATTGGTGTTTATAATTTACTCAAACCATATGTTTCTGATAATGCTTCAAAAGCAAAAGTAAACAAGCAATAGGTAGACCATTGACATTAGCCTACATATGAAATTTTTTAGGATGTTTAGTATTCTCACTTTAAGTTTTCTTGCATTCTTACAGAAGCTCTTGATTGTTGGTTTTGAGATGCTGCTTGGATCTCGACCCATTTTCTTTAAAATATATCTAACTCGTTCCTCCATGACAAGAAAATCAGCCTCGGCTTTCGCTTGATATATTTTCTGCAAATTGATATAGAGTCTGCAAAAAGCAACAACACAGCTACATTAGAAATCTGAAACACAGATTGAGGTTGAAATTCAGTGCCGTCAAGGCAGTTGCACTAACTCTGTTGACGACGTCATATCTGGTATAGAGCCTTCAAGGGGTGCCTCTCCATCACCTTCGTTTGAGACAAACTCCTGGAGGTAGTGATGTATGAGAATTATGATTTCAAACCAAATTGTGTTGCACTCAAAGGAAAATAAAAAACAGATTCATTGAAGTAAACTTCCAAACTATTTAAAAACCCTGAAAATTGCCCAATGACTTCACTTCCTCAATGGACATGAAAGTATTGTGTTTTGGAAGAGTGAATTTCAAGTTTCAAACCTTCAGAGCTGCTACCATCACCCAAAAATCTGAGGAATTTGAGCTCACTTCAGCACAACTATCATTACTAATTTGTTGAACCTCTGAGCCTGGAAGAGAAAACAGGTTTGGTTCAGCGTGAGGAATACTACCCATGACAAAGTTTTCTGCTAGTTTAGCTCTAATATCCACAATCGCTACAGCTAAAAGCCTAAAAAACTCAGGCATGGAAACAGAACAGAAGTTATCAATTAGGTACATAAAAACATTCTTACCATCGGCCATCCAATTTCATTAATTCCAAACATATGTGGCATGGAAGCGCCAAATTCTATGTCAAGTTTCTACCCACACAAAACAAGATATCTACTTACTGATTCCACGAGGAGCAAAAACTTTGAAAGCGGCCTCCATGGCTTCTTTGTAGTTATCTTCATCCATAGATATCATCTTGGACTTAACCAAATCCTAAAAGATCTCAAGGTTATATATAAATTAGAACAAGGAAGCAGAAGAAAGCAAGCTAGCTAATGAATTTGTTAATTTACAAAAAAAGAACTACACCTTAAACTCTCTTTTCTCTTCCCTGGTCGAGGGAAGATTACAACTATGGGATTGAGCCCATTCATCAGCCATCTTCACAAGAATGACGACGTAAGGTATGTGCTTATGTGCAACGGGATCTGATACATTTAGATCAATGGTCTCCACAAAACTGCCGTTTAATGAATAATAAAGAATATCAAATATCATTCAGTCGTCCATCCTCAACCACAATGTCAAAGAATGCGAGAACAACATAATTTAAAACAGTGTACCTTCTGAGTTCAGGCCATGGATTATTCAAGCGAAGGTCGTCAAGAAAATGATCAGGCTTTGAGTCAATTATAGTGTGCTCCTGATAAAACAGACAAAAATAGAGCTAAGCATATTTCCCATTGGCCAATATCCTAACTACGGCATACCATTCGCAACACTCAACTAACACACAGTAATCCATTAGTTATCTGACACAAATCGGGTCAAGAAAGCTATTACCTTTACAGATACGCGAACAAATCCAGCAAGGCCGTAAGAGCGAACAAAAACCAACTTGACGTTTGCTTCTCTACAGATTCTATCAAGTTTCACCATTGAATCTTCCACCAGCTACAAGCAACCAACAACGAAAAAGGGGATAAGAAAAATGACTTTAAGAACATAGAAAAGACTAATAAAGCAATATCTCGTGAAGGACCGGGAAAGGTACATATGTGAATCCAAAAACATCGAATAGAAGGCATCATGATTCATATCTAGCAGTTCCAAAGGAAAAAAACCTAAGTGAGAATGACTAAATTAAAATTTCACAACTTTGCATAGTCTTCACACACTTTTAGTTGAGGATGTTACAACTCTACAACTAAAAACACAACCTAATCATACCTGAGTGGCTATAACCAGAGTGAACTGAGAGAAGAAAGACGGATTTTTGTTTATCAAAGTGACAGGATTCTCCTCAATAAACTTGGCTTTAACAGCATCATTAAGCTCTTGAAGAAACGCACAGGCAGATTTAGCTTTTGATTGCCCAACACTCGTGTCATCCACTGCACAAGACAAATAACACCATAACCCGAAGTAAGTAAGTTCTACAGACATACCCAAAATCCCCAGGAGATACAAACAAATTTAAGAGGCTAAAGAGAATAACAATTACCCATGAAATTGTTTCCGAGGTCTCCAATTTCAACCTTGGATCCATCAACGATTGTGAAACTCCCAACTCCACCAAGTACGAGATTCTTCAACGCCTCGGAGCCAGTAGGACCACAATTCAGCAAACAGATACTCGCGTCTTCCAAAGCCGCTTGCCCTAACTCCCCCCAAATCCTACGATTTTCCGAATCATCCGATTACTTCATCCCGAGAAGAAACGAACGAAGAACGATAGAACAATACAGAGAGAAGTAGAGTTCGATGAAGAAAAACTGTACCTGAGTTGACGATCGTACTTGGTTTTGGGCTCCGACATTGTAGGCTCTTCTTCAAGCTTTTTTCCCCAGGTTCGCTTCGTCGCTACGCAGAAGGCAA